AAACTTGTAATGAGTAGCACTAAATAGTAGCTTTGCTTATACTCTGAAAGATACACAAGTTAACCTCAAATTACGTCTTGTTTTGATATCGTTACAACCGACAGGGTTCACGTATTACATCATGTACAAACTCTGCGTTTTTTTCTGCTGCAACATTAACTAAAAATAAAATGAAAATTATGAAATGTGTCATTTAAAGATTCATAGAGGTCCCTAATAGTATTTACTGGGATTAATTACAAAATTGATAACATTTATGTTTAACTGTGTGCGCGTGATTCATATAACAGGGACCTTGTATAGCCAATAAAGTCCATATGTTATTAGAGACCTTGTATGGCCAATAAAGTCCATAAGTTATTAGGGACCTTGTATGGCCAATAAAGTCCATAAGTTATTAGGGACCTTGTATGGCCAATAAAGCCCTGGACCCTCAAGATTTTTATATATATATTTTTTTTTAGCAAGTGCACTTTTAAAATGCGACATGTTATTAAAAGGGTGACCATAATGAAACTATAGTTAACATATTTTTTGAATATAACTAATTGTGTGTTGTTATTTTTTTATTTCAGTATCGTGCCCACGAAGGTTCTGTACGCCATCTGTGAGTATCTGGGTACCAACAAAAGTATGAAAAAATTTCAAGGCAGAACAAAACAAGGTTGAAAGTAAACTTGTTTCTGAAGTACATGATACAAACAATGTTAACCTTTTCTGTTTGAAATAACCTCTCCTTTTCCTCACACCAATAATTACTTTTATGTTTGATTTTCTTTGATGAGTTGACAAAGTTCTTAAAAAGTTTTCCTTCTCATCTTGATAAAGGAAACTTCTGTCAATCTGAACCTATCCCGCGTGCATCGTTAGAAGCTACCTTCATAAGTTTTAAATCTTTTCACTGTATTAATTGAATACCTTGAATCATAACTTTTCTCTGCGTTGAAATTATTGTATTTGCAAGCTTTCTACTTTCTTACCGGATCCTTTATCGGTGAGAGAATAGAAAACTCGCAAATATAATAAAAGTATTTTAAAGTAGAGAAAAGTGCGTGTATAATTCTACATATTAATTTTGAATTCTGGTATACCTTTTGTGTGTTTTTTACAATAGAATATTGTTATGTTAATACAATTGTTGAAATAATAATGTATCATAGTGTAACTGTAATCTGTAATCAACTTTGAATTTACCTTTGAAGTATACAGACTGTACAGGTGTAGTTTCAATAGTCGTGCTTATAATATTCTAAAGTTTTTAGAAATAACGAATACTATGTGATGTATTAGTCCAATGTTATGAGGAGCGCAGTCTCAAATCGATAGGTCCATATATGGTATTCCTTTGTGTGTTTACTGAACAACATGGCCATCCAGCAATATGTTGACTGATATTAGTAGGCCCACACTAACTTTCCTATGTCCATTTAATATTGCTCTGGTAGCCACTGGTCATTTTCAATTTTCATATTTGACATTTTGAGAGGAGGAATTTCCCTTCTACGAATAGTGAGTGAGTCTGATGTCCTAAATCTGATACTATCTTGGTAGGCACTGGTCATTTTTAATTTTCATGTTTAGGGGGAGGGGTGAATCCCTCTTCCATGAACAGCATTTCTAATGTCCCAGAACTGATACTGCGCTATTACTCACCTGTCTTTTTCAATTTTCGTTGATTGAGTACCCCTAGCATGTCATGGCTAAACAAATATCGAGAGCCTTTCGTTCCTTGATGAAAAAGCCATAGGCGTTACGTCAAGTATATAGCTGTGCTCCTGATTCCACGTCTGTAGAGGTCGGAGTTTACTTTGTAAATTCACAAAAAAACAAATATTGCGGTCTAGTAATTAAAAGTGAACCTATTCTCCTGGATTATACCATATTTCTACGTGTGATATGAATTAATTTTAATTAGTTCCATAGTCTAAGGCAGTGTTTCACAACCTTTTTCGCCGCAGCGCCCCCTTCTAATAAATTTGTAGACCATTAAAATATTTTACTTAAATTAAAATTATAAGGCAATAAAAGTCTATTAGTATGGTTTAATTTTAACAAATATAACTTTGAAACCCTCAAAATTTACTGTCTTCTGAATTTTGAAAATGGTCACTAACAGCAGTACCACCCTGGTTGAGAAACACTGGTCTAAGGTGAAAAGTTCCGCGTGTATGATATATTAGGGGTACTAGAGTTTCCTGGAAAGTTATGTTGCCCCCCCCCCCCCACAGTGGCCACTTAGGGTGAAGAAGTATTTACAAAATGGCAACGAACGCACCTCTAAGTGGATTTTCCCATCACAGAAATGGTGTTCTTTTTGGCCTGGCAGTTAGGGGCGGTCGACTTGTAATCTGAAGGTCGCGGGTTTGAATCCCCGTCACCGAACATGCTTGCCCTTTCAGCCGTGGGAGCATTATAATGTTACGATCAATCCCATTATTCGTTGTAAAAAAGTAGCCCATGAGTTGGCAATAGGTGGTGATAACAAGCTGTCTTCCATCTAGTTTATCACTGCTAAATTATGGTTGGTTAACGCAGATTGCCCTCGAATAGCTTCGCTCGAAATTCAAACCAACCCAAACTGATTTATTTTTTCTGCATACGAAAATGTATAAGCTACCCCGATACCAGATGGTGGAACAGTGTTAACACATTCTTGTCGCCCCGGTTGACTGCGGTAATTTGGCCAACTTACGACGCTAAATCCGGAGTTCGATTCCCTGCTGTGGATCCAGCAGATAATCCGATGTAGCTTTGCTCTAAAACAACAAACAACCTTCATATTGTGAGAATGGTCGGGTTCTGTATTACAGAAACAATCATCGGTACACCTCCGTCCCAGTTTTCTGGACTTGCACTGCAGAGTGAAGATTAATGGAACTGGACATTACAACGTCCAAACTGGCTCCCGTTTCTCTTAAATCATTCTCCTGCCGGTATCTTCAGGTTCAAGGAAATTTAACTAGACATTCAGGGCGATTTTCCAAAGAGATATGGTAATTTTCTCACGTAAATCCATGAATGAGAATGTCCTTGCGGCGTGGTCATTTTTGTTCATTTCCGACATTCTGCAGATCTAAAACCTGAGCTTTTCCCTCCTGGTTGGAATATCCTGCCTCACAACATCATTCTTCAGTACATTACATAACCTCTAAATTGGATTTTAACCACTTCAGTGATGTTTCCTTTGATTGAACTTGCCCTACTGCATTATTTGAGAAGGTAGTAGTTTGTACAGACGTCGTTCCCAGTGTGTGTGTGTGAACTGAAATGCTTCGGAGTACTTTCTGGCTACACGCCATCATTCGAAAGTTAACTTAACGACTGTATTAACTTCATCGAGTAGTGTTGACGAAATGGGCTTAGTCATGTTTGCAGATCACAATCACATCCATGGCTATACCACGATTCGTTGTGAAGTCATAACAGGGACATCTGAAATACTGGAAATTTCCGCTCGGCTCCGCCATTATGAAGAAACTTAGTCTGGCAATACGATTTTCCAAGCACCTGTAAAGGCTCCCTAACACGAACGAATTCGTTCTGTATGGGATGGACCACACAATCGCTGAATTTGGCATTCGGAGTATACACTTGTGAAGGAACACGTAACTTGCTGGTCTCATCCGGTAATTTGGAAATTAAATATTACTACATTCTTTCTAACAGCAGAGTCCAATGGCTTGTATCTTATTATTTTTATACAACTACGATCCCTTCCGGCCATGTAACGATTTTCTCGGGATTGCCAACGGCCAAAAGAACAATAATTGAGTTTTAATAACTAGGTAAGATTTCAAATAATGAGTAAAAATGTTATCTATATTAAACTTCGCCAAATGCTGACGATGTGTTAACCTGCAATTACAAAACGCCGCAAACTGACATAGTGACATCCATAATTTTAAAAAAATGTGGGACGGTGGGTAGTGGCGCAATCCGATAAATCGTTTGTTTCAGTCTCGACTTTGATGACCTCATTACGAGTTCTTTATCTATCTCGGAGCAAGACGTAATTTTCAAGTACAGTCGCTTGTGTTTCAGTCCTTACGTTTCCTACAGAACAAAAAGACAAATTAGAACCTCCAATCATCGTCGAATTTTGTATTCATAAACACCGGCTGTGAAAATTCCTACTGCTCTACGCGCGCGACATCTACCGGCAAAAGATTTATCCTTATCATTCAAATATGTTTAGATGGTATTTCAAGAATAATTATATTATTTATTCATTTTTTTCGAAACAATGAACAATGGAGTTTGTTCTTTTAGGTATTCTTACTGTGAACGTTAGCTTTCCATCACAACTACATTATTTCAACAACGAACTACTCTCGTTCGAAGAAGTTACAACGCATCTTACCGATCACCCACGCGTTTAGATGTTGCAATGCAAACATGATTTTAGGACTGCTGTATAGGTGCCTCAGTACATTCGTCCGTTTTCTAGTATTCAAATAGAAATGTTGTCCTATATTATACATCTCAGAATGTAAGGGTTTTGATACTGATAATATACACGGATTGTCAATACTTTTTGTTTGTATATATTATGTGCGGTACTTCAAGGGAGAACATATTTAAATATTATTGCATTAATAAAAACCTCTATGTTAAATAGTTCAGCTTACTCCTTAACGGAATTTTAATTTACAACAGTAATACTGATATACATTAATATAAAAAAATGTTCTCAGTAATGTATCTTTTTACTTAGAAAAGAAAGTTATTCTTAAAACAGCCAAGTTTCTGGGTGTCTTTTTTTTTTTTTCAGGCCATGTTTTAGTTTTCGTTCTGCACACTCCCTTATCTGTTTGTTGGAAATTTAATAACTTAGTTTAATAACCTGTGTTGATATCCAGACCTCAGGACTACTACACACGTGTCCTTTGCCCAACAGTATCTAAAACTGACCTGTCCAGACTGCTGGGTTAGGTAAAAGTTCATTATCATGACCATTTAAATATTCAAACACTGAGTTATGCAAACACTCTCTCTCTCTCTTGTATTACTATTTTTATTACTCTTAGTGCTTGGTTGTACAAATATGGTTTAGGTTTGAGTATCAGGAGTGTGATTACCAATGAAAACAGGAAACAAGGTTTTAACCGATTTTTCTTTTGTAATTGAGATGTGGTACATTTTAATAAAAAACTAATATAACAGTAATTATAAAGTTTTAAAATTCTAGAAGCAGCTTTGTCGAGAGAGAAAATTGAGTGATTAAACTAGTTACAGAACGAGTTTTAAACAATATAATTACTTCTTCTGATAAGTGTTAATAATGTTTGAACTATTATCGCTGCTTTCTATAACAAAACTGTTGTTCGAAAATACATTTTGTAGGAAACAGTCCATTGGTCACTAGCTAAACCTGCCTAACAAATGATCCCCAGACAGAGGGGGAGACATCATTTAAATTGTACACAAATTATGAAAAGCATTAACACAAAATAATGATACCAAACAATTATAACTATGTTGTTTCAGGCTATTTTTGTACTCTTAAAGTCTCTTAGGATAGTGTTCAAATTTTTATCAATCAAAAACAATATGTTCTGATGATTCAAACCTTAATCATTACTTCATTGTTGAAACTTAAGTAACTTTTTTCTTGACATGATAAAAAGAGTGTAATAATTACAGAGATATTATATATGTTTTACTCAGGATGCAATATAAATGGATTTAAGATATTTTAAAACTTCCTACTAATTAAAACAACTTAACATAAAAAAAATATATATTTTGTTCTTCTTTTATAGGTTGTTGAAATGTGGTCTTCAAACTTATAAAAAAAAAAATTTGCTGCCTTAAATTTTAATCTTTTTATCCTCAGATTTCTCTTATCTTGTCCTTTATTTATTTATTTTACAATTTTCATTTCTGTTCTGCAGTACTTAATTTCGCATCATTTCAATGTTTAATTTTGTATTTTAAGTTATAATTCATGACAGCCAAAAACAACTGAAACAGTATTTTAAAACAAAAAATGAACATCACTTCCACTCTGAGATCAAATGTGTTACAAATCATTTACTCAATTAAAATTTTCGTTAAATTGTTGAACAATTTGCTATAACAGTAGCTCAATCTTTATGTACTCTTCCATATGGAACACATTACACTGACCAAAGTCAGCCCATAATTCCTTAACCTCTCTCTCCTTTTCAGAGATAGAACTTAACTACGTACTTACTAGAAAATTTGTTTGATTTTAAGCTTTAAAACGTTTTTAATTTTAGTCATCTGTAAGCTTTATGGAAAGTTTACTCATATTACTCTTCAAGATTGACCAAGATTGCCACCAAAAGTTGTAATAAAGATAAGAGAGACTTACAAGTTACAAGAGACAATACATTTTATTGTTTGTATTACTTCTTCGTTTGTCAGCACGGAAAGAAAGACGTGCCACTGAATTGAGCGTCACTTAAGATCCAACCTTAAAATCACCTTAACCCATACTGTCATTTTTTCTTTAGCAATACTTCTAAGAAATCAGTATTCTTTCAGACCAGAGTGACTAATTTACAATTTTAAAAAGAATGGTTAATATAGCAAGTAACTGGTTTTCAATTTGCTCACAAAAACTGTATGAATAACTGAGATGAATGTAGCTAGTAAAAACATACAGAATTTTAATGCATATAAAATCACATATTCGACTCTTTAGAAACTTTCAATACCCTCAGAATTAGAAAAAAAAAAAGAATACAAAATATCATATAGAGATAGTCCCTATACTCCTCGGTTAGGTAATTTTTTAACCTTATAGATTCTTACTAGCCAGTGTTCGGTGGTGTAAGCTTCTTCAAGAACATCCAACTCAAAGTCTTTGTTTCCAATCTCAGCATTACGAACTCTGTCGTACCCAGGAGGTTTACCTAGTTTAAAGAATCAGTATCGCATGATGTAAATAAAATCCTTCACAACATACATCTGTATTAAAAACCTTTAACTTTTTTACAGTTACCTATAAAATGGCATAAACGAATACCTTCAAGTCACATCGAACTGAAATCAAAATTGGGTTTCACTGTTTTCCGTTTACCACAATAAACAATATTATTCTATAATCTTGAATATACATGTTTAACTTGTTACTCCAGCAACCTATCTTAGATTTAGATACTTGACTTATTTACTGCTTGCTCATGGCATGTTGTTTTTTTCTGATCTCGGAATTAATCAATTTTTTAAAAGAATATAATTATTTACACATAGGACAACACAAACATTAAGTCCTATTTTAAGCCACATAAAGAATTGTTTCTCAGAAACTATTTAAAAATTATTAATGAATATAATTTTTTTTTTTTACATATTTTGTATTAATGTGTATTTTATACAAAAATATATTAGAACATCAACATCATTTTATCTCTTTTAAATAAAGGTTCTGGAAATAGAATTAAACTTTGTGGGGGAAGGATAAAACTTCCAAATTAGTCAACAGACAAATTAATCTTGACGTACAGTAACATAGATGAGTATCTCCAGTACTGGTAAAGTTAACAGTACGTACCACCAGTCTCCGTACTGGTAAAGTTAACAGTACGTACCACCAGTCTCCGTACTGGTAAAGTTAACAGTACGTACCACCAGTCTCCGTACTGGTAAAGTTAACATTGCATACCACCAGACTCACTACTGGTAAAGTTAACAGTATGTACCACCAGTCTCACTACTGGTAAAGTTATCAGTACGTACCACCAGTCTCACTACTGGTAAAGTTAACAGTACGTATTACCAGTCTCAGTACTAGTAAAGTTAAAAATACTTACTACAAGTCTCACAACAGATCAGTTACATTTTTATAAATCTTTAAAATCCTACCAAATCTTAATTTTGACTCAAAAACACAATGTAAAGTTATTTTTTTCATAATTTTATAAAGAAGAATCTAATGATACATCACCCAAGTCACATTCATACACACAGATAGGAATGTGGTGAAACTACGACAGTACGAGAAGTTTAACTACCAGTTGACATGCACGACCATTCATGCTACTGACTGACTTGCAGAGTCAGAACATTATTAGCCATGACAAACCACACTGCTTTAGACCTTGCAGCTGGAGTGTCTCACTTCACGCAAACAGTATCAATATAACAAACTTCAGCACACAGAGGCCGAGTACAAGTGCTTCAACTTGCTGTCTATTTCACCAGCAGTAGCATCAGTCAATTGAACATACCTGCTTCCGTGTAGACAGATCCAAACCGATAGTAGCACATTTTATACATCAAACAGTTGAGTAAGATGGGTGAACCCTCTCTGTCGATACGGAACTCGCCTGAAGGGGTGTAGTAATCTTGTTCCTTGATGTGCCGTCCGCGATCAGTGCTCCCACCGATACGTACCATCCACAAAAACTTGTTGATATCTAATAATAAGAAATAATACATTTATATCTACAAATACTTTAAGAATATAACTGCCTTGAATTGATTTATTTATAAAATTCTAATTGATAAAATGAACAATGTTTATTATTTCTTTCGGTACATGCCATGTATATTCTAACGCATTACTATTAAACTCTCCAGGGCCATTAAGTAAAATATATTTCATACATAACATGTTTAAATGTTAAGTATCACTGTCATGGATTTTACATGACTACGTATGTAGATCAAGTGCTTATCAAGAACATTTTGTGTGGACACTTTACACAATGAAAAACTATTGAAAGGAACAATAAATGTTTATAAAAACATTTATTAAGTATCAAATTAACAAATATTCCAGAACATCTTATTAAAATGCCCCACATTTCACCATAACAGCTTTGCCAGGGGCTCACTTATTACAGCCACGGGCTCACTTAAACTACAAGTGATTTGGTTGTGAGCATCTGACAAAGCCATCACAGCAAAATATTGGGCCAATCATGAGAACTAGTAATAGACTACCAAATACCAATCAAGGTAGAATGTTGGACCCACCATGACAACTAGTAACAGGCTACCAAGTACCACTTAAGGTAGAATGTTGGACCCGCCATGACAACTAGTAACAGGCTACCAAGTACCACTTAAGGTAGAATGTTGGACCCTTCATGGCAACTTGTAACAGGCTATCAAGTACCACTTAAAATAGAATGTTGGACCCATCATGGCAACTAGTAACAGGCTACCAAATATCACTCAAGGTAGAATGTTGGACCCGCCATGACAACTAGTAACAGGCTACCAAATACCACTCAAGGTAAAATGTTGGACCCGCCATGACAACTAGTAACAGGCTACCAAATACCACTCAAGGTAGAATGTTGGACCCGCCATGACAACTAGTAACAGGCTACCAAGTACCACTTAAGGTAGAATGTTGGACCCTTCATGGCGACTAGTAACAGGCTACCAAATACCACTCAAGGTAGAATGTTGGACCCGCCATGACAACTAGTAACAGGCTACCAAATACCACTCAAGGTAAAATGTTGGACCCGCCATGACAACTAGTAACAGGCTACCAAGTACTACTTAAGGCAGAATGTTGGACCCGTCATGACAACTAGTAACAAGCTACCAAGTACCACTTAACACAATCACTACCGGCTACTAACTTTCTGCGGAGCCAATGCAAGTCTTGCTATATTTCGTTCCAACAATAAAACTAGGGATGAAATTGTTTGAAACTTCATAAGAACTTTCATAAATGCACATAGTTTAAGAAACATAAAGTCTGTTAATTTTGATAAATTTAGTTTTTTTGCATTATGATCTTTAATATCTTGGTAAATTACATTAAGAAATGGTATTTATAAGATATGATTATGATATTTACATTTGTTCCAGATTTAAACTTCTTACTTTTTATGTTTTAGTACATTATTATTAAATCTCTAAAAACTTCTTATTTGTCTATTTTTATTTTTTTAACAATCAAGTACTCTCCTTATGGTGTCAAGTAACATATTTGTAATATTTGTAAGTAAACCTAAACAATAAACAAGTATTTTTTATTTTTAAATAGGATTTCATGTTTATATATGTACATAAAAAAACTTAATTTTGTTTTATAAATGTATTTTTATTTCAAGTTTATGTTTCATTGCAGCCGTACTTTTGTTTATCGTGCCAAAAAAAAACATGGGGTTAGCAGCGTACATTTGCCGTAAACTATCACACCTGTTGGGGGTTATTCTCATTCAGTCCAGTGCAGGTGCATTTGAACATTACTGTAGATATGATAGTAAGAAAGCTTTTCGGTACTCGAATATCATTTCTTGGAAATCTCAAACAAGTTTATTTCAACATTTGTCCTTGAATGTTGTTTCATTATACAGACAACTTTAATTGCCACTACTAGTGAAAGTATGTAATAGCTTACAATACAGGTGGTTTGAATAACACCGCCTGACCCTAGTTACATGATACATCCTGTTACAAGATATTACCAAAGGATACAGACACCATAAATTACAAAGAAAATCACTTTACAGCACTTAAAAGATTAGTCCTGGTCACATTCCTCTCATTATAGGCAAGATTTATATTGTAATTCGAAACTTAAGCTCTTCAACGTATTGACACCCTAACTGTGAGAATGTCATAGCTTCCCCTGTATTATTGAGTTGATTGTATTTAGTCTGTTTCATAAACAATATATGGGTTTTATTGTTGTCACTTGTACATTGAGTTTTAAACCATTTGCAAAATATCAGAATAAACTTTTTATATATCAGTTAGACTGTTTTAATAATAAAAAAAAAAATAGAAGTGTGGATCTTACTATGAAGTAAAGATAGTAAAAGGAAGAAGGAAAAATATCAAATTTTTACGTGGTACTAGCACTACATTCAAATCACACAAGGTTATTCTAAATACTGAATCACATTTTTATTATGAGCTAAATATAAAATTATGTTAAATTATTGAACTTAAAACTGCTAATTTAAATGCAAAAGAATATAAAAATCACAAACTCTTTCAGTTCAAAGTGCTAAGCCTAATTCATGTAAAGACCATGCACTTGCCACTCGATAGATCTTAACCCTAACATTCATGGATCAACTTCTTTCCTAAAAATATATCTATTTTAAGTTAATTTTTCAATATAATGATTAATATAAATAGATATACAATAGAACATGACTTAAGCTACTATAGAAAAATAATAAAAGTCACATATATCCCATGCAGTTTTATCCAGAAGCAAATTTTCTAAGGCTTATAAAAAAAGTACTATTGACCAATACTAAATACAACCTCGACATAAAATGGCAATTACTATAATAAGCACCACCCACGTTTATATTGTAAAATCCAGAGAACAACGTTTCATCACATGCTTTGCTTATCATCCTATGATTTGTCAAACATGAAATAAAGAGATTGGAATAACATGGTACTGAAAATGATACCTTCGATTAGAATTGGCTAAAAGTTTTACAACTGAGGTTTAACACGCCCAGATGCTGTCTTATAAAGAAAACCGACTACAAAAAGGTTTAGATACCAATCATAAATGGCAGAACCAGAGCTAAAGTACAAAACAAATTTTTCCTTAGAGGGCGCTTAATCATAGTCTCAAATGTATTTTGAGATTTTTTTATTAAATTTCTCTTCGAATTTCATTAAATAAACTTTCCTGTCAAAAGCATGTAGGTAGAGTAAGATCTGGGTTCAACTGAAGCAAATTCTGAAATGAGACATCAAAAATACACCTTGTACAAGAAGCATCATTTTGATTTAATGATTCAACAAATCCTTTGCATTAGTGATGTTGTGATTCACATTCAGTGCTTTAAGAGACTCAGAATTAAATGATCCACTTATTATATTAGGGGTATCTTGATCTTGCACTGTCCATAAAGCTCTTAATAACTGCGAGATTCCATGCACTAAATTAGGATGGTTAATTGCCCTAGGAACTGATGGACCACCCACCCAGTAATGTTGGTTCTTAAAGGACACCATGCAGTGTGAATACAATAAATATCTACACTTTCCACCATGGTTCTTTACTGGGTGGTCCAGCACCTTCAACTTGTCAGCTTTGGTGTCCGTAGAGAAGTGTTCTTTTGTTGAAGTGTGCAGAAGGAACCAAGAAGTCTACAAATTCTAAAACTCATTTAAAAAAATTAAAAAATTATGGAACTGAAAAAACGTACGTGGAAAAACCCTTGAAACTCTTCTCAGGAACCGGAAAGCTGTTGTTTTACATCTTCAAAATACAGCAACACAAAAAGATGGCCACGAGGCAGTTAAATTACTTTCTCTATTTCCTGGCTGAATCTCTTGTGAATATCTGCAAATTTTTACGGAGTTTATTCAAAGGTTTTTAAAGCAGTCTTAGAGGTGTTTCAGTAGAAGACAGTCACACCAACGACTAATAGTTGACAAAGTTGTCAAAAGTTTAACAAGCTGACAAAACCGTTCAAAGAAGCCGAGTTTTTTCATTGTTGGTGCTGATAACAAATCCTATTAAACCAAGATGAAGAGAGAAAGTTGTGAGAAAACATTCAGATCAAACAAAGAAATCATGTTGCAAGAAGGAAAGTAGTGTCTGAAATACTGGTTCTACATTTGACACAACATCTCAATCAAACGTAACATAAAAAAATAACCTATCTGGCCTCCAAGTATAACCCAGCACATAATCCATTTCAAAATTAACATCAGAAGAACAGTTTGTCAGGCTTCCAAATATGACCAGAACATAATCAACATCAAACCTATTAATAAAAGGACAGTCTGTCAGGCCTACAAATATGACCAGTACATAATCGACATTAAACCTAACATCAGTCTTCCAAATATAACCAAGCACATAATCCATATTAAACTTACCATCAGAAGAGTAGCCTGTCAGGCCTCCAAAAATAACCAGCACATAATCCACATCTAACTCCCGCATTATCTCGTATGCTTTTTCTTCTGAAGAAGCCATTGCCTGGCCGACCCTGGAAATGTGTGTATTGTTCCAAGTGTTGTTGTCAACTAGAATTGTGCGATTTGCCATTGCCGTTATCTGATACCCATAATCCCACCAAGACATCACTTTAGCATCCTACGGAACACAAAAATAATATTATGTTTTCTTTATCTACCTCTCATCAGAAAAAAAAACAAAAACATTAAAGGCTTATTTTAGCTTTTGTTTCAACCCACGCACCTGTAAATGCCAACCCTTTTAAGCAACCCATGAAAGTTCTACACAAATGACAAAAATTAAACATTTCATTAAATGTAATTAATGTAAATGTATTTCTTCTTTTCTTTCTTCAATGCTGGAATGTTACCAATAATATCTCCAATACTCTTGAAAAGGTTAAAATAAAGTAAATAAATTAACAATTTGTTTGAATGTTCAAACTAATTCATAACATTTTTAAAGTTATGATACAACAGATATTAAAGGAAAACCTTTAAAAATAAAGAACATAATTATTATGCACCAAATAACAGTGTTTATCACCACCTCAGATGACTCTTGCATGAATTATAGCCTTAAGAAAACACTTCGGCTATCAGATTTGTTTTATTATTTATTTACAAGTGATGACAAAAATAAAAACTAAGATCAAAGCTTGTAACAAAATAAAACTTACTGAATATTATCATAGTGAGCATCAAATGCATTTTTAATGAGTAGGAACTGAATGCTTATGAATAACTCTTTATAAATGAAAAGTTATCACAAAAAAGGATGCATGCATTTTTAAATATTTTTAATTTAATGTGCAAATTTCCATTTTTTACTGAATACATCATTAAATATTAATGGAATTTCACTACTATAGGTTATAAATATATTTTTTTTAAATGTTGAAGTTAAATGTCACTAGTAACAAATATACTGTACTGTAAAATATGCTAAAAAAATCATTAACATATTCCTCACTTGTTTCAATCCAAAATTAAACTTTTAATGTATATTTTTCATGTTTTTTTTACTAATTCTAATATTCAAGTCAAGCACATTTCTAAGTGAATAAATGAAGCGAAAATAAAATACTAATCCACGCCATCTTCGCAATTCATCCTCATGAAATTAATGAAACAGGGATAAAAATAAAATTACCAGAGCAGGTAGAAGTATGGAAATTTCAAGTATACACTTACAAAAATAATGAAATGAAACAAATTATGTTGTTGACCTCCCCACAAACTTAGAGATCAGGTTGTTGATATTACTTCTAGATGAGCACTGCTTTAAACAGTGTAAAAATTAAGATGTATGTGTGTAATCAAAGTAGTAAATTTTTCATACGACGTCACAATAACACAATATAATAAAAGTACAATTAGTTTTAGGTAACTTCAAACTAAAAAACAAGATCATTTACTTAAATCTCAAAAATACTCTGCACTAACTACGAACATTTCGAAATCAGATCATTATCACTAATAAGGATTGTTTAATTTGTATTTATAATTCAAAAACATGTATGGTCTGACGGTTTGTACACTAGCTACAATTCTACTGTGCAGTACCTCTGGAGTGTTCTGTCTAAGCCAGTAATAAGCTTCCCTGAAGTCATCGAAGATGATGCGGGAACCGTCGTGACTACGTGCAGAGAGAACGATGGAAGGGGACGAGTAAGCCTCGGAGGTCACCCAGGTGCAGTGAAAAGTGTATGTCACAAGAAGGGCCATCATGACAGTCAGGAAAGTCCAGGCTACCTGTTATCACGACAAGAATCTTACAAATTAAACTGGTCACCATGGTGATGCCATACATTGTTACCACAAATGGCTTAAAATAAGCCACATAATAATCTTTGTTTTCTAACAAGTTTTTTTTTTGTCCAAGTTTTACTACCACTTTTAAATGTTTTCAAAATTAGCTAAACTATACGATCATTGGTCTCGCCCACCCAGTCTTCATATGTTATCAAAATGCATTTTCCCAAGTCATGGTAAAGTAAATATTTAAAACCTTACCTCACTTTTCATAAAGAAGTTGCTTTCAAATCGTTTAGTTTTTCTGTCTTGTTGTGAAACATCAAGCTGCTTTGCGTATGTTGTCATCATTGATGACACTCCAATTCCAGCAAGAATACACATAACAGGAGCAAGGACCAACATCAAACGGACCATCACACCCTTGGAAACATAACATGTGAAAGAAACTGTTACCAGTGCCATGATGCTAACACTATCTGTAAAACTGAAACCACTTTTAACCTAAATTAGTATCATAGTCACAAACTAAAGTCACACTAAACTTCAAATCAATCTGCTTTAATTTTTAACACACTCCAATCCCAAACTAGCTCATACTGAACTTTTATTTTACTTAATTCTTTAAACACACACACACATTGTAATCCCAAATTAAACCCATATTTAACATCCCCAAATTAAAACCAATATTTAATATCTATCCTACTGTATTCTTACACACACATTGTAATCCCAAATTAAACCCATATTTAACATCCCCAAATTAAAACCAATATTTAATATCTATCCTACTGTATTCTTACACACACATTGTAATCCCAAATTAAACCCATATTTAACATCCATCCTACTGTATTCTTACACACACATTGTAATCCCAAATTAAACCCATATTTAACATCTCCAAATTAAAACCGATATTTAACATCTATCCTACTGTATTCTTTGAAGAAAAAAATTAAATTTTACATTAACCTATATTTATAGTCTATCATAATTTATTCTGTAATGAAACATAGAAGAAAATAAAAACAATTACAATAATTATAATCAAACATGTTTACGTAATAGCCACTGGTCAAGGTTTAAATTTTCTCTTCTAAAATATCATCTAAAAATGTCTAATTTTTGCTATAACCTTAAGACAATACTTTTAAGAATAAATAACCTAACTTCTAAAAAGGAAAGCAGTTCCAACCTAGTAAAACATGTTTTTGGTACTTACAGCAAAGTAGATGCTTGTAACTCCATACAAAATGATGAAAATATTAGCATCCGTCAACTTGCTGAAGCAAAAGTACAGTCCAACTACAAAATAATGTTTATTTAAAATACTGTTTTTATTATTTTCTGGCTACATCTTTTGAAGTAATTATCTTATCACCTAAAAAAGTAAAAAAAGTGCTTTACACGTGAAAAAAAAATAAGAAAACCAGCATTAAACTAAAAGAAACAACTTGTAGGTTCTACTGATGCAAAAACAAACCAATCACACACCTCGGTACCCAACCAATGGTTTGTTTGTTTATTTTGAATTTCATGCAAAGCTACATGAGGGCTATCTGTGTTAGTCATCCCTAATTTAGCAGTGAAAGACTAGAGGGAAGGCAGCTAGTCATCACCACCCACCACCAACTCTTTTACCAACGAATAGTGGGATTGACCATCACATTATAATGCCCCCATGTCTGAAAAGGCAAGCTTGTTTAGTGGGACGTGGATTCGAACCCGTGACCCCCAGATTGCCGGTCAAGTGCCCTAGCCACCCCAACAAACTCTCACACAACTCCAACTTTCATCTGACAAAGAAGGGGTCAAACCATCCACTTTACAACCACCTAAACATGCTTGCTCTTAACTTTAAAAATCCCGTATTTTATTTATTATTCTTACCAGCACACCACTAACTTAGATTCTTGTAATAGAAATTAAACCTAAAGTAACTATTCTTTAACAGTGTGGTCTAAAGGACTGAATACTAAGCCTGATGTAGGAAGATTGTATCAAAAATAATTATATTTTGGCCCGATTACCAAATTCCTCACAGTTCTAACACAACACTTTCAAAGAAAATTTTTAGATAGCTAAAGTATCATCTCAAACACAACAAAGATACTGTGTTTAGCTCACTTTTACACAAACTGGACACACATTTGTTATTCTGGTTACATCCATCGGCTTGCATAAGGAATAAATAAGTATGGAAATGATAAATTCTTTACCAAATGCATAAATATATCTGTAAAAAAAAAAAACTTTTCAAGAATTCATAGATTTTGTCACAGAAGTTTTTACACATATATAATCTAGTATATTTTACTGGAAAAAAAATAACAGACCTTTAAAATTTAAAATATAGGATAAAGAAAAACTATATTCCTTTGAGTCATTGTTCACTAACTGCTCATACTAAAAATGTTTCCACTTCATCATACCTTCAGAGGTTCTAGATGAAACCCTGGTGGCTTCACCATACCTTCAGAGGTTCTAGATGAAACCCTGGTGGCTTCACCATACCTTCAGAGGTTCTAGATGAAACCCTGGTGGCTTCATCATACCTTCAGAGGTTCTAGATGAAACCCTGGTGGCTTCACCATACCTCCAGAGGTTCTAGATGAAACCCTGGTGGCTTCACCATACCTCCAGAGGTTCTAGATGAAACCCTGGTGGCTTCACCATACCTCCAGAGGTTCTAGATGAAACCCTGGTGGCTTCACCATACCTTCAGAGGTTCTAGATGAAACCCTTAAACTTTTGAGTACTAATGCTATACTCACCTGGAAACATGAATACAAGCAGTTGTAGATCGAAATAAAACGATGACCACGAGGTTGGTTGATGTTCTGACACAGAGGCAATTATAGGGATGTTATTTTTGGCGTATGAAGGGTCAAGAAGAGAGTAGAAACGCCCCGTCCATGGAGAAATTTCTTAATGAAAATCCTGTCAAGGTCTACAATCATGTATTGTCAATAGATCTAACAAATTTTGGTTATAATTAGGTTTATTTTATTTTCAAATAATATTTAATAAAAAAGTTTTTTAGTCTATTCTTTATTTGTTAATTTTAATAACTTGTTAATTAACTTAATTAGCTTGATTGTCAATTTTGCTTATGTTAATTTTCTTGGGTAGTTTAAGTTTCATGGCATAAACCAATTTATCACTTTAAATCATAAGTGAATTTATCAAAGCATATTATTAAACTTACTCAGCCATTAACATAAACACATACATGAGTGTATTTTCATTAAAAACATGTTTATCTATCAAACATCCAGTCTACGGGTGGATCAGCAGTAATTTTAAAAACTTACAATGGTAAAATTTGGGGGTCAATTCCTAGCAGTGGACAGTGTGCAGACAGTCCACTGTGGAGCTTGGAATTGAGAAAACAATAACATCAAGCTTGCATCCAGTCCTATAACATTTTCACAAAATTATTATTAAAAACTAGTGTGAATTCAAATTAATTTCACTACTGATACACAGATCTACAAACTGATGAACGTAGTAGTAAACGATGTGGAACAAAGGTCAAAATTCTATTCATTAACTCAAGTTTTTAAGTGTCTTTGATAGTCTCATTTGTTGCTTTTTAAATTGTATGGTTTTATTTATAAATCATCTACGGGTAAATTTGAATCACTTGCTTGTTTTTTTCAAATAAGATATTTAAATTTTTTAATCCAAACTAACAAAAGTTCTTCAATCTGGCCCAAAAGTTTAACAAATGCCAAAATAAAATACACAACTCTATGTAAATGATTACAGAGCTTCGGTAGAAACAACAATATCAATATTTTTGTCTTGATCTTATTAGTAATGTCTAAATTATGTATTTGAAACAAAAAAATTAAACAATTAACTTCAAACAACTTTAAGTAACAAAACTGAAAAATAATTACCAGTAACAATACGAATACATTATTTCTAGTTTGCAGAAAATGTTCTGAAATAATATGAAACCAAGTATTTCTTCTGTAGCAGTTAAGTCAATGTACGAAAGGATACTCCCTGTAACAGTTAAGACTCCTCCAACTAATGCTGAAAGTCCTGCAGTCAAAAAAATAACTGTCTTAAACAGGACCTCAAAATGTTCCTTAGGCAGGCGGGATCGGACATAATCGACAAATGCGTGAAGCTGGCAGAGACCAAACACACCCAAGGCCTGAACAAGAAATATTTAGCATCAGTACATGACAATAACCTGTTAAATTTTAATTTCAACAAGGTATTTCTTAAAATAAGATGTGAAATGCCTACATTCTCAAAGACTGATGTATAGGACTAAAACATGTGATAAATATCAAGTTAACTGCAGATGGCTTTTTTCCCCACTTTCCCTTAATTTGTTCATTTCAGATTCATTCATGTAAAAATAGCATTTCAGATATTTCAATTCTTGTGTTTGTAACATCTTTACTCTAGCTTGGAATCATAACACATAGTGAGAGAAAAAATTGTTTATTTTATTATGAAATGTAACTTTTTAAAACTGATGTTCGACACAACATTATTTATTAAAACTTATAACTCTTAATTATCTACAGATCTAATGAACAATCATAAAAGTTTATAAATAAAAATTCATTAAAGACAACAACGTAACAGACGAAAGATAGCTTTCAAAAATGAAAAAGATTTAAGTAATGCTCCTTATAAAATAAAATGGTAGAAAATTTGAAAACATGTAGTAGTCTTTGTCTGGTATTAATATTAAGTCTCATTACTGGTCTTAACGTTCAAATAGATGGTTGATATATCAAAACAATCCCGAACGTGCAAATCAGTGAGTCACATGATAACCACAGCCAATATAATTATGGTGGAACAGAATATATCAGAACTACATTTTGACATTTCATAAATAGTGTGATGTCACCAAAAACTGATTGTTTTCAGGAAGGGTATGTAACAGACATTTCTGATGCAAAATAGTCATATATTCAGATCATAAAATGTGTTCAAATTTGGGATTTATAATTTCGAAGATGAGATACCCATTGTACTTAATGAAAATGTAAAACAAAGGAATGTCAATTAACTTCGGTCACCAGATCATCCAGAAAGAAATCGGCAACCAGTTGCAATAAGAAAAGTGGCCATCTTGTAACATGTTACAATTCATGATCACAAAGATCAGTGGGAAAAGCCTTGTCAAAGCATACAACATAATTAAGGATCTCCATATGGAAAAAATAAGTCATAAAAACATGTTCCTTCCTTGACATATCTTGTTCGGCCATCACACACCTCAAACAGCTGGATATTCAGGACTTTTGAAATAGACAGTGGGAAACCGTTGCCCCCAAACAGTAGACAGATTATGGAAACCCTGCAAGGAGGAGTGGTGTGCTTTGCACATAGCAATCTTATTATGGAGCCTTTTAAAGAGAAACTATTCTGCAAGGCTAATTTCAAGAAGATTGTTAAACGTTAAGGAAAGCAAAAAGCTCCAAAACCACACCTTTAAGATAATTCCTCAGTAATGCCTTAACCTATAAGGATGATAAAAAATGTGAAGTTCCAGCCTCCTCTCAAAACCAACAGATGACTAGAAGAATAAAAATTATATAAATCTACCAAGTCCACAGGGAGCTTTTGGGGTTTTTTTAAATGTGATCTTGGAAGCTTTTAAATCTGAAACAATTAACTTCACTTGTTGGTCAATATTAAACAAGGTGTGTTGTCAGGCAATAGTGTATTACCGTGGCCATCCAACCCAAGCATGGCTAACAATGAAGGAAATAGTACCAAGAGCAGCAAGGACCTGGAATATTGTTTTTATTATATAGTGATTAACCCCTGATGCAGTTAAGTCTAGTCCTTGTCTATTTTAATGGGAAACACCACATGTTAATTACATAATATCTATGAAATAACTTTCACGTGCCCATGTTTTCAAACATACAAAAAAAAAAGAGATTCAAAATGTTTACAAGTCTAACCTCTGAAAGTCCATTTGCCAACTGATTTGACAGTTAAATGAATGCAATAATACATAATATATAATCTTTATATAAAATTAATGAGGTAAGTGAGGACTTCTGAAAAGTAGGGAATGTTAAGATGACGAAGAAAATAATTTCAGAGATTGTAAATAAATGTTAAAATCAGATTTATGTTTAAAGTACTAAGACCTCCTTTATTATCAGATACCAAAATCAATTCAAATACAACCAAACCACAATTATTCCAAAACCCTGAAATCTTTTAGAAGCCCATCCCTCCCATAAACTGACTACTGAGCTTTCAGTTATATAACTAACAACCAGTGGGAGACTAATGGAATGCTACTTAATATCAGACTCGGACATCCCGTGGAATCTGGAATTGAAAGAAATACCTTTACGTCTACTTCTAACTCAACTTAACAACATTTCTTTGGATAGGTTCATTTTCAAATTCTAATAGAATCTAACATTACTATTCTGCTTAATCAGGATATAAAAAAAATGTAACACAGCTACAATATAGTTATCCTACAATATAGCTATCCTATACTTTAGTATCTACAATACAGTTATCCTACAATGCAGCTATCCTACAATAGTTATCCTACAATATAGCTATCCTACACTTTAGCTATCCTACAATACAGCTATCCTACAATACAGCTATCCTACAATACAGCTATCCTACACTTTAGCTATTCTATACTTTAGTATCTACAATACAGCTATCCTACACTTTAGCTATCCTACAATATAGCTATCCTATACTTTAGTATCTACAATACACTTAAGTTATCAATTCATCATTTTGAGAGATGAAAATAATTTACCGTTATTATAGACGATGATACGATGACAACTGTTTTGAAGATTGTCTTGAAGAGTAGTTTTCCAATTTCTTTAACGCTATGTATAAATCTATTATTAGTACTAGAAAAAACATATTCAATCTACTCACTGCCATGTGCTCACTTGATTGAACGGGTTGAAATCCCACAAAAGAAATCTGCATTGAAAGCATGGTCCCTAAGCAGTACACCTGAAACAGTTAATGATTCGTTTTAAAAATTTGGATACCAAATCAGGAATAAATACGAGTATTTTTGTACAGCAAAAATGTCCATTATTGATCAAATTAACAAGTTCTGTTTCATGTATCTCATCTTTGCTGTTAGAGAAAGAGGACCATTTTGCTAGCCATTCAAATTCAAAATAATATGATATTAGCACTTACATTTTTCATGACTTCAATGCTCTTATTTCTACTGGAATGATTCTGATAATGTTGCAAATGTATCATCAAACAATTAACAAAGACAGAAAATCTGACAAAAATTATGTAAACTTACAGTACTATAAGCGATGTAGATCCGGTGTGAAAATCGGCCAGTTATCATAAGTGCTATGACGTGAAGTGGAATGAGGTTGATTAAGAAAACGTACCCTCCCCAAGATGACACCTAATAAATGAGAAAATATCAGGAAATATTAACACCATTTTATCGAAAAAAATATAATATCAAGACAATTAGCAAATTGAAAAAAAGAGATTTCATTATAAGAATTGTATATTAAAAAATATTTGAATTTTAAAAAAGTTCAAAGTATTCAAATCTCAATCTTCTTTTGGAATAGATGATATCAAAATTTTAGCATACTGCTTTACAATCTGTAGACCTAAATTTAAAAATTTAACTTGTATTCCAATTTGTGGAAATTCATAAAAGATCATGTCAACATCTGTCAAATAAAGAGGTATAAATCATTATTGTAATTTGTTTCAGAGTAAAGTCATTAGCCAATGTTTATAATACATCGTATCACATTTTTATCATTAGTATTTTATGCACTACAACCAGTAAACTTTCATATTTATCCAAATAAATTTTCCTCTGGCAGTATCTTAAGTTAGAATTAGGTGATTTCAATCATTAGAAACCACTGAAGACTATAGAAAACTGGCAGCATATCTATAGGATACATCAAGTCGAGCAACAAGCAACAGTGGAACGACTTCGTTTGTTTTGGATAATCGAGCAAAGCTACACAAGAGCTACATGTGCTAGTCTTCCCTAATTATGAGCTCATTAGCAACTCTAATCAAAAACTGAAACCTAACCATCACTCTTATAATGCATCCATGACGTCTAAGTACGGAGCATGATCTTGTGGAAACAAGACACAAACCATGGATCTATGGATCCACAGTCCAGCTTGTTAACCAATAGGCCAGATAAGGTCCAGAACAAAGGATATGCAAGTTACGTAATCTTTTTAAGTAACGTGTAGTTAACAAAAACAATACAGCAAGTATACAAACTGGAAAACAATAATCAACAAACCTAAACGTCATGTTTAAATTCAATGATCATCTTACACTGTAGGAACTGGAAACAAATGTAGGATTAAAAATTGGTTTACAAACACACACACACATTTTTTTTTCAATGAGGAATAACAAAAAAAAACATTACCAATTTGATTATAACTGTTCAGTGACACCAAAAAAATTAATTATTTTCCTCACTAGATTGAAAAATAATTAGTTTTAATGTTACTAATTATGCTCTTGTAGAAACATTCACCCACATCAAACATTGTTTGTCTGCTGTGGCTTGGAATGCATTCATTTATTTCCTTCCTCTTTGTCAAGGTAAAAGGATAGTTGACTTCACAATCCCTCAACGATGAGAAACGACACAATAATTTTCTGTTGTTTACTATAGTTATATTAGACTGGACCAAAATTATATTTTACTAAAATCAAGCAGGTCTTTATTTCCTAGAAAGATAGTGGAGCTAAAAACGAAGACACGTTTACCGTACTGTGGGATTGGTTATTAATGTCAATTTTTTTCATAGTGGAGCTAAAAACGAAGACACGTTTACCATACTGTGTAATTGGTTATTAATGTCAATTTTTTTCATAGTGGAGCTAAAAACGAAGACACGTTTACCATACTGTGTAATTGGTTATTAATGTCAATTTTTTTCATAGTGGAGCTAAAAACGAAGACACGTTTACCATACTGTGGGATTGGTTATTAATGTCAATTTTTTCATAGTGGAGCTAAAAACGAAGACACGTTTACCGTACTGTGGGATTGGTTATTAATGTCAATTTTTTCATAGTGGAGCTAAAAACGAAGACACGTTTACCGCACTGTGGGATTGGTTATTAATGTCAATTTTTTCAAATACCCTTGTCAGCATAACAAATATATAATAAGTAAGTGTGGACAAAGAAACCTTTTGTTTAAAAATTAACTAGAAATTAAGGAAAGAAACAACCACCAAAAGAATCAAAAAACAAATTGTCCATGCAGTCCCTCAAAAATGGAAAACGTTTTCTTTTTTAAGTTTAGTGTTTCAAACGTACTAGAAAAGTAGAGACCAACAAAAAAAAAAAAGAGTACATCCACAACATACGATTACATATCAAATTAAATGATCAGAGTTCAGTCGCAAATTTTATATTATATTATACTGTTATCAGTTTGGGATTATTTTAAGATTGCTAAAAAAATTCTTAGAGTAGTTCTTCCATTTATATTTTATCAGTTTATATTGAATTATGACCCAATGTGCTCACATCATTTCTAAAATAATATTGCTAAAAATTTAATAAATTTCAAATTGATACCTAACATTCCACGATTATAGATCTCTGAATTCGTCAATTCAAAGTTACATTAAAACTTCCAATATTTCAATAAATATGTGCATTTTATTAACCAAACTTTCAGATACATTTTGTTTTGTTTTAACTGCCTAAAACATTATTTCTGCAGTTCATTATTACAATTTCTATGATATATGTTAGGTTAGCAATTTTTCAAGTTGAGCAAAGCACTGGATTGGTAAAATCAGTCTACGACAATACTTCCTCTTCAGTTAACTTCTAACATTGTCACACAATTTAAACAAACAGACGATAAGCAATGTGTAATAATATCTACACAATCACAAAAAATAAAAGAGTGCAATTTTTTTTAAATGTAATTTTATTGTTTTATTTCCTATTTTTCTACTGCAACACAAAAGGCAGCATTAGTTTTATAGCTAAACTAATTTTCAGCCATCCAATAAAAGTTTCTAAAACCTCAACTGATAGAAAATTTAATGCCTGAAATCTGAGTTACCTTACAACTTGCCAAATCTGTGGAGAAATAAATGTAATATCAACTGATAATCTTAAATACAGAATGAACTTGCACAAGCGTATTAATCAGAGATTAAATACCTTCCCATCCATTATCGTACAGAAATCTTTTTTAAAATTCATTCTTTTCGGCTATGCAACAATAAAACCAAAATATTAATTTCAAAAACAACTGAACAGAAGCCTTAATGCTTCATTAAACAATAAATCTTTCAAGTTAAGATAATGCTTTTATAAGAAGAGATAGCTATGAATGTTGTATGTTTTTACTTTTAGTTTAGAAAAGCAAAACATTTCTTGTTGACCAACTTCAATATTTTTTACCCTTACTTTTGTTTGGTTTGTTTGTTTGTTTGAAGTTAAGCACAAAGCTATAAAATGGGCTATCTGTGCTCTGCCCACCACGGGTATCGAAACCCGGTTTCTAGCATTGTAAATCCACAGACATACCGCTGTGCCTCTGGGGGGGCACTTTTGTTTGGAACATTTGTAGTATAATGTGTAGATGACTGGCTTCGGAGCATGGTGATCTTATTTTTGACCTTGTCAAAGGTCATTCCCTCTGGAATTTCTCAGTTGGCATTGGAGAATTCCTTAGACTTGTACAAATGTGTTCTCTAGTTGCATTTGTCAGGTATAGATTTAGAAATACTAATAGACTGTCTTACTTATTTGTTATTATTGAGATAACCATGTTACAAAAGTGGCAAATATACTCCAGGCGAGTTGACCATATTCAATTAAATGTGTAGTAGTTAAATATATCATTCTTAATCAGATGTTCACCAGATTTTGTCCAACAAAAACCTCTCCACGCTTAAAGAATGTTGAGTGAGATGTGCTTATGTTGTATAAATCAATAAATAGAATTTTAAAGTCTCAGAATGTTGAGTGAGATGTGCTTATGTTGTATAAATCAATAAATAGAATTTTAAAGTCTCAGAATGTTGAGTGAGATGTGCTTATCTTGTATAAATCAATAAATAGAATTTTAAAGTCTCAGAATGTTGAGTGAGATGTGCTTATCTTGTATAAATCAATAAATAGAATTTTAAAGACTCAGAATGTTGAGTGAGATGTGCTTATGTTTTATAAATCAATAAATAGAATTTTGTTACTAAAAGTCTGCTATCAATCTCTCTATGTGATTATTGTTCATAAAATGATTTTTGTTAGAGGTATTACCAAGTACATTAGTTGAGATGTCTACTTTCTTAAACACTTTAATTTACATATTTTATAATAATTGATTTTTAAATTCATATATTTCACTCCTGACCATTTGTTAATAAAACTTATAATTTAAGTTTCACATACAATTTAGAAATCTGACCATTATATGCCTGTGTACAAGAGTACAAGAGAATACACGAGTCAACATTTTTTAATGTGATAAATAGTTGTTGTATAACAAGTGAAGCAAAATTCACTTACGGTATTTTTTTTTCTTATTATTGAGTCAACATTTTTTAATGTGATAAATAGTTGTTGTATAACAAGTGAAGCAAAATTCACTTACGGTATTTTTTTTTCTTATTATTGAAGTTGCCCATAAGGCAGTTATAACTTTTATTTTCCTAGAGATGTAAATTTATGCTTGAAGTACATAAGTAACACAGTTAAAGGTCTAGGATAACTTTAACATTTAATACTATCTAGTCTTGTCACAGCTTTCATGTACAAACTCTTGTTGGGATTTCACATACCATACGTTAAGAAAGTAAACCTTATTATACACCATACAGCCTCAAGCGAACAAGAAAATTGAAAAAAAAATTATTGTTGGCCTATTGCAGGAACTAATTTATAACTAATATGACTTAAATTACTTCAAATCCAAAAATGATTAACATTACAGGTTTGCAGTTTCATTAAAGTCAAACTGATCAAACAAATAATACAGAACATAATATGATTTTCAAAGACATTAATTTTACTGTGAACAGAAAAAATGGTACAACCATACAGGCAAAAATATGCTTTGCCACAAACTACCTACCACATAAAAATATGCTTTACCACAAACTACCTATCACATAAAAATATGCTTTACCACAAACTACCTACCAGATAAAAATATGCTATATCACAAACTACCAACCATGTAAAAATATGTTTTACCACAAACTACCTACCACGTAAAAAATATGCTATATCACAAACTACCTACCAGATAAAAATATGCTATATCACAAACTACCTACCAGATAAAAATATGCTATATCACAAACTACCTACCAGATAAAAATATGCTTTACCACAAACTACCTACCACATAAAAATATGCTTTACCACAAACTATGTACCAAGTAAAAATATGCTATATCACAAACTACCTACCAGATAAAAATATGCTTTACCACAAACTACCTACCATGTAAAAATATGCTTTACCACAAACTACCTACCAGATAAAAATATGCTATATCACAAACTACCTACCAGATAAAAATATGCTTTACCACAAACTATGTACCAAGTAAAAATATACTTTACCACAAAATACCTACCATGTAAAAATATGCTATAGCACATAATGCTCCCCAGTAGATAGTTCCACTCTTTACAGCTTTGATCCAAAGGTAATACGTTAATAACATACAGAAGATCGCAATACCCTCATTGTCGTAGGAACCAGCCACTGATCGAGAGATGTATCCTGGGACAATGGATATCATTGCAGCAGCCACGAGGCCTGACCCGGCATCCTGTTTATAACAGCAAAAGGTTTACAGTTAAAACTGAGGCTGTTTCTGATATTTAATACATATAATTCACAATTCCAGTGTTGTATTTTTGTTTTTTTCTCTGCGAGTGTAAAAGTACGTGATGAAGAGCACAAATCAGCTTTTCAATTTGTAAAGACACAAATATTAGTTTTTATGACTTGTTTTCTTCAAGATTTAGTAGTATCTTAATGTGTGCAGGCAACATCACCATATTGGTTGCGATACTAATGTAATTTTATTCTATCCTAATCATATGTACTCCGATAATAAGGATACTTACTAACAGTGACCAAAACATGTAATGTCACTCATAGACATTGACAGACTATACTTTTTTATTCACTTTAATTACAAAATAGAGTTTTACTTGTATTAACAGTGAAACTTACAACTAATCCCAATTAAGACTGTTACAGTAGTTTCTTTATTCCTTAACATACATTCAACAATTGTGTAAACTCATGTTAAGGAACACGGCAGGTTTGAGATCCTATTTTAGTTGCCATGGAACAGAATGCGACGTCCAAGTACATACATTAAACACTTGTGTTAAGGAACACGGCAGATTTGAAATCCTGTTTCCTAGGCCAAGGAATTGAATGTGACGTCCCAGTACCTACATTCAACACTTGTGTTAAGGAACACAGTAGGTTTGAGATTCTGTTTTATAGGCCAAAGAAAGGAATGTGACATCCCACTATTTACATTTAACACTTGTGTTGAGGAACACGGCAGGTTTGAGATTCGGTTTTATAGGCCAAGGAATTGAATGTGATGTCCCAGTACCTACATTCAACACTTGTGTTAAGGAACACAGCAGGTTTGAGATCGTGTTTTATAGGCCAAGGAATTGAACGTGATGTCCCAGTACCTACATTCAACACTTGTGTTAAGGAACACAGCAGGTTTGAGATTGTTTTATAGGCCAAAGAAAGGAATGTGACATCCCAGTACCTACATTCAACACCTGTGTTAAGGAACACAGCAGGTCTGAGATTCTGTTTTATAGGCCAAGGAATTGAATGTGATGTCCCAGTACCTACATTCAACACTTGTGTTAAGGGACACGGCAGGTTTGAGATCCTGTTTTATAGGCCAAGGATTGAATGTGATGTCCCAGTACCTACATTCAACACTTGTGTTAAGGAATATGGCAGGGTTTGAGATCCTGTTTTATAGGCCAAGGATTGAATGTGATGTCCCAGTACCTACATTCAACACTTGTGTTAAGGGACACGGCAGGTTTGAGATCCTGTTTTATAAGCCAAAGAAAGGAATGTGACATCCCAGTACGTACATTTAACACTTGTGTTAAGGAACACAGCAGGTTTGAGATTCTGTTTTATAGGCCAAGGAATTAAATGTGACGTTTCAGTACGTACATTCCACACTTGTGTTAAGGAACACGGCAGGTCTGAGATCCTGTTTTATAGGCCAAAGAAAGAAATGTGACATCCCAGTATTTACATTTAACACTTGTGTTAAGGAACACAGCAGGTTTGAGATCCTGTTTCCTAGGCTAAGGATTGAATGTGATGTCCCAGTACGTGCATTCAACACTTGTGTTAGGGAACACAGTAGATTTGAAATCCTGCTTCCTAGGCCAAGGACTGGAATGTGACGTCCCAGTATATACATCCATTTTAAAACCCTCAACACTGTATGTGATGAGAAAACATTAAGAATGAAAGAAACATTACTACTTGATGTATTAAACACTGGATAAGTGGCGGAAACATTACCACTTGATCTAATAAACACTGGATAAGTGGCGGAAACATTACCACTTGATCTAATAAACACTGGATAAGTGGCGGAAACATTACTACTTGATCTAATAAACACTGGATAAGTGGCAGAAACATTACTACTTGATCTAATAAACACTGGATAAGTGGCGGAAACATTACTACTTGATCTAATAAACACTGGATAAGTGGCGGAAACATTACTACATGATCTAATAAACACTGGATAAGTGGCGGAAACATTACTACTTGATCTAATAAACACTGGATAAGTGGCAGAAACATTACTACTTGATCTAATAAGCACTGGATAAGTGGCGGAAACATTACTACTTGATCTAATAAGCACTGGATAAGTGGCGGAAACATTACTACGTGATCTAATAAACACTGGATAAGTGGTGGAAACATTACTACGTGATCTAATAAACACTGGATAAGTGCTGAAAACATTACTAATTGATCTAATAAACACTGGATAAATGGTAGAAACATTACTACTTGATCTAATAAACACTGGATAAGTGGTGAAAACATTACTACTTGATCTAATGAACACAAGATAATCATATAGTGTGTTGAGAAACAAGTACAACATCTTGGCTTACCAGATACAATGATTAATTTTACTTTGCTCCAGAATATTACTTAACTAATGGTAAGCAAAAAGTTCATAGGTGGTATTTCTAAGATATTTGCAGTTCTGAAACACATGAAACTAAAGGAAGAGCTCTTCTGGTGGTGTATTTTTTAACCACAGTTAAACTGTGAGTGTTTAGCAAAGAGTAAAGTGATAAAATAAAAACAAACAGCAGTATAAGGAATGGAGAAAATAACAGCAGATAGTATTTTTAGATTTTTGTTCTCGGGCATTTTTGGCATGGCCGTCCCTGGTTAAACATTGCTACCAATGTTATTACCTCATACAAGTTTAAAATACCACAAGTATGGCAAAGTTCGATGTCAAGGGATATGGCGAAACATACAGTCTTAACCCTTCAACTGCGGTTGACATCATATGATGCTAGCGTAGGCCTGCCACAAAAATTTGAGAATCTTTGAACATGGAGTTGTAGGCATATTTATACAAACCACAAACATAGGGTTAAAATACTTCACACAAACTTTTATCTATACATAACACATCTGTATAGAACCATTTAAAACCTATATCACACTGACCTGCTATCTCTATTGTGTATATATAAAGTGTTAAAAAATTACATTTTGTTCGACATTCACAATTTTTTATTTACATCATAATAATAAATAACTTAAAATGTTTTCTTCTGAAGTTTATATAAAGTTATTTATTATACAGCCAACCTTTAATTCTTTAGTTAGAAGATACGTCACAATAGTCGTCAAACTTGAGAAGAGAGGAGCCAAAAACACACAAACATTTCGGACATCAATAGGGATGTTTAAAAACCTCAACACCCTGTAGATTGTAGCGGAAGTTATCATCAAACCTGTAAAAGTTATAACACTGGGTTAACATGCTATACACTATGTAATATACATTCTTTACACCAAAAATGTTCAAAAATTAATCACTAACAATGCAATACATTAGAATCTTTGTAAATAAGAACATAAAAAAGTACAGTAAATTAGCTATACTAATAACAAGATTGATTGGAAGTTAATATTAATGTCTATTTGTACGTCCAAAGATATACTGAAATAATTAATGTGTCATGCGATAAGTTTAGTCTTCCTATGTTAAAACAGTATTAGCTATGAAGGATACACCAAGTGAATATCTTTGACTATATGTTTCTTTGAGTCACTGGTGCATTTTAGATTGTACAAAATATCCTGGAGTCACCGGTGCATGTTAGATTGTACACAGTATCCTGGAGTTACTGGTGCATGTTAAATTGCACAAAGTATCACTGATGTCATTGGTGCATGTTAGATTGTACACAGTATCCTGGTGTCAATGGTGCATGTTAGACTGTACACAGTATCCTGGTGTCAATGGTGCATGTTAGATAGTACACAGTATCACTAAGTCACTGGTGAACCTTAGATTGTACACAGTATCCTGGAGTCACTGGTGCATGTTAAATTGCACAAAGTATCACTGAAGTCACTGGTGCATGTTAGATTGTACACAGTATCCTGGTGTCAATGGTGCATGTTAGATTGTACACAGTATCCTGGTGTCAATGGTGCATGTTAAATTGCACAAAGTATCACTGAAGTCACTGGTGAACCTTAGATTGTACAAAATATCCTGGTGTCAATGGTGCATGTTAGATTATACGCAGTATCCTGGAGTCACTGGTGCATGTTAGATTGTACACAGTATCCTGGAGTCACTGGTGCATGTTAGATTGTACACAGTATCCTGGAGTCACTGGTGCATGTTAGATTGTACACAGTATCCTGGAGTCACTGGTGCATGTTAGATTGTACACAGTATCCTGGAGTCACCTGTGCATGTTAGATTGCACAAAGTATCCTGGAGTCACCGGTGCATGTTAGATTGTACACAGTATCCTGGAGTCACCGGTGCATGTTAGATTGTACACAGTATCCTGGAGTCACCGGTGCATGTTAGATTGTACACAGTATCCTGGAGTCACCGGTGCATGTTAGATTGTACACAGTATCCTGGAGTCACCGGTGCATGTTAGATTGTACACAGTATTCTGGAGTCACCAGTGCACCTTAGACTATGAACAGTATCCTGAGAAGTGAGTTTCCACAACTTAAGTTACAAATACACAATTACTTTCCAAAAACTGTTCATAAAATGCCACAAAGATGGAACACCTTTTGCTTCTCAACTTGCCGATCATGCGTGCACATTATAATTTTCATTCAAAGATAAACATAGTTTAAGTCATCCTCTGCTAAGTACAGTTTACTCATTTAACATTTTATCTATCTTACCATTACCATACACAATATCTGACCACTAGTTGGTCAGCCATCCTTCTGTTTGCTTTTAAAATTTTAAACTTTACTTCAACTTTATTCTAGCACTACACCTGTCTTTACACACACTATATCCTTAAATCCCTGGCTGTTGGAAAGATCAATCGCCTGCATGCTAGATTTATCCTGAATTAACACAAAATTAAGCATCTGAAAATCTTTGTTATTCATTTGAAAATTTTCAAGTATCCCCATCATTTCCTAACATCAATTTTATTAATCAACATTCTGATGAAGCTGCAATATACCAGCTATGTCAATGTATTAATGAAAATTACCCTTTCGTTGCTAACTTGATTTCTACAAAATTTATCGACCAATCAGTACTTTTCATACACTCCATAAAAAAAAAAAAACACTTAAAAAGCTACTTAAACTACTTTAATCAATTCTTACCTGGGTAGATTGTTCCCCCAATGATCCTACCCAAGGGATACCAGGCCCTGTCATCAAACCAGTTGTGAAAGCTATAAAATCCTTCTTCCGCCAGGAAGCGGGTTGTGCGATAGTTGAAGTAAGGATCAAACTCGTGGATTACACTTTCAAACCGCAACACGGAAAACAGACGAGTCGAAAAAGCTAAAATAAAAATGTTTTATATCATCTAAAACCAAGTAACTAGTTTTTATCAGTGAAACGAAAATATCATATTATGTACAGTTCAGATTTTCAGAAATCACAGCAAGTTGAGATAAATATTATCACTTAATAAATGCTACATAGATAAGGTAGGTCAACACAACTTAGTAGCATCATATACTTGGATTATTACAAAAATTATTTCTCAATGGAGAAGTTTCCAAAACCATTTAAAACTAAAATTGATATGTTTAGAATGAAATGGTCGGTGTTATTTTTAAATTAATCTGTCCTGATTTCTTGCACTTTCTCATGCATGATGTAAATCGTTTATGTTGATGCCCTTTGATCCTTGACTGTAATCATATACACATTTAGAACTGTAATTTAACCCTTTGAGTGCATAAACAAGACACACAGTGTGACTTGCAGCCAAAAAAAACAACCTGCAGGACACACTGTGTGTTATTAACAGGAGTTATAGTTTAGTGATATTCCACCTTCTATATCTTGGACAGCAGTAATCCAAACTATTACATATTTTCAGTGAATGTGCTCTACTATACTCTTAATTCATACACTAAATTTCAAGGCAATCCATTAAGAAATATCTGAGATATAGCATCTCCAATTTTGATTGAGTTTCTTCCTTTTTCTTTTTTTTCAATAGTATGAAAACCTTATTTGGTAGAAAAACACACTTAACTTTAATGGAATTTTTTAAAATTTGGTACACTGATAGATCATTTTAACCTAAAATTAGGAGTCTCATTTGGTATAAATATAAAACTACATGTGCAAAGTTATTCAATAAAAACTGCTCAAATTTAATTAAAATTTTTGTGCATGCCTACACAAAAAGTCATGTGAGCTATCAGTCTAAGATTTTTGCTACAGCATCATCTACGAGTAAAAGTGGATCGTTTTAAGTCTTTTGTCATTTGGATTAAAGACGGCTGAATTAGAGCAGCAAAACTATCAGGTGAAAGGACGTGCAGATACATAAATATTGGGTAGGTCAAGCAAACTAGATTAGCAGTTTCTAGCTCATGTTTTCGAAATAATCATACAGATGGACGGTTATTATTGATTATTCATTACCAACAAATTGACTAAATTATCCTAATTAAAAGAGCGTTTAGAATCACATGATATTAGCTTAAGCAATTACCATGGCGTAACTATAAAGGAAGCTATTAACATTGTTCTAGAGAGGAAAACTACCACCACATATTTTAAAGAATCTGGTTGGTTCTATAAAGTAAAAGTAATTTTTCTATCATGTAAAGATTTTTTACAAGTCGGGAAAAAAGACTTACTCAGATCAAATTATTATTTCGTTTACCACAATGAACATATTTTATTATTATGTTTGTTATGTCTGAGTTCTAGAACGATTGGTCTAGAGAAATCTATAGCCAGTGGTTGTCAACATTTTAAGCATAACAAAATGTAACCCAATTTCACTGAAAATGATTCACTTATGTAAAAGTACATATGATGTTTTGTGAAAAATTTGAACGTGATGGAGAAAAATGGATTTCATTTTTGGATTCAGAGTTCAGGAATTAATGTAGAACATGTCAAGATTTCAAGAATATAAAACTATATAACTGATGCAGCACTCTGATCATCTTGGAAGTATCATCAATGATTGATGCAGCATCCTGATCATCCTAGAAGTTATACAAGTTCTCAGCTACATGGACAAGCTGTCTACATCAGCACTGCACTTGATTATGTTGACCTTGTACTGTTCACTCCATTTGCTGAGGAGTCAAGGTCATAAAGTAAAATTGGCCTGCACTTGTGTTACATCTTCTCAAGGAATCAGCTTCTAATGATGCTCAAGCAGAGGTGATTCAAAAGCACCTACAGCTTCATTGCATTAACCAGCACCTTGTCAACTGGGTTGTCAGTTATGACAAAACAGAACCTTGTATTCCAAAGAGACAATGTAAACCTGGCTATGAATTGGTCGATGGTGGAGGCATCAAATGCGAGCTTATCACATCTTAAGGACAACCCAGATCCCAAAGAAACATTCTTCTCAAATAGCTGTAGAAATCACATTTAAAGGGACATCAAAATGTCATAAGCAGATGACATGAGCATCTGAACATATGAAATTGTTAGGGCTAACAACATTCAAGATCTCATCAATGCTTTGAAAGTTAAGGTTTCCAGAAAATGATCTGGGCATTCAAACAACCATGAACATTCTTTTAAACCTTCAGAAATACCTACAACGTGATTGTGAATTGTAATAATACACCAATCTAATAATCAATGCTGTGAGTGACCATTTTGGGAAAGTAAAATAAACAGAGGATGGGACTGTTACAGAACCTGTAATCATGAAGACACCCTTACAGTGGCTATGATGGGGAATTCTTTCAGTCAGCATGCAATCTTCTTGACATAACTACAGTCAAATATAACTAGACTGAGCAAACTCTGCTGCAATTTTTCCAGTGTCAAATGTTGCAGTTGAGAGAGCATCCTTTCTACAGAAGAGGATAAAAATGGGTTGCAGAAGTCATCCGAGCAAAGACAAAGTGACAAGCTTGAAGAGGATATTAACAACTCTGAATTTGAAATGATCAGCAGCCATTTTCTTATAGACTAGGGAAAAGTAACAATACGTGAAGTTGTGAAAATAATTGACAAGACTGACTGTGTTCGTTGTTTTTTGGTGTGAAACTTTCATTCATGATTTCAAACAACTGTGCCTCGTGTGTTTGTTGGAAACCTTAAGTGGTTTTTTTGGTATGGTTTTTATGCGTTCTCTTTAGTCTAGATCTGTCAGTTTAGTCTTATGTAAGTTCACACACACTCACTTTTATCATACCTATTTTTCAGCTATACTAAGAATTGAAATGGGCAAAACATTTTAATTTGAATATGACTGTTTAAAAAATATAACAAATATGACAATTTTTGACAACAAATAAGTATACAATTTTTTCGTTTTTTTGCTTATTTAAAAAACAAGGCCACTAAATAAATGGAATCAGTTTGTTTTTTTTTATCATATAGGCTTATTTTTTCCCTCTGTAATTACTTGTATGCACTTTAAAATTGATACGTATCAGACAACAATGATGATGTTTTGTGTCAGGAAACAGATTTCTTAGTGGAAATGTTACACAGTGAGATCGATTCTCTTACCAGCTGTGCACACACACAAAAAAACTGCATTCTTCATCTACTTACATAGTATAGCAGCCATTGAAAGAATTAACATCTTCAGAAGCGTGTCCTGCTTCTCCGGAGACATCTGAATTAGCCATCCTTTCTTCTTATATTGAACTCCGGTGGATGACATGATTGATAACTGAACAAAAATAATAATAAGTAGTAGTACAGTGAAGGCATAAAAGAATGTTTAACACCTCCTTAAACTATGTAAATATGGTCAGAAGCTGAAGTTTCTTACTAACACGTACATCTGTATGTTTGGATAAGTATATTCCAAAATAAAATTTTCTTTTGAAAAATTATAGACATGCTTACTGCTCATTTTAACATAGAAAATTTAATTTAAAACATATGGTACTGGCAAGATGAAAGTAGAGACGTTTAAAATATGAATATGTCAAAGTTACAAGAAACATCCAATTCTATGAAAGATGTCTTCACTTGTTGTATTTGTATTTTCTGCTAAAAATTACAGATATTACAAATAATATTTTCTTTGAGAAAAAAGTTATGAAATTAAATTTTCACACAAGGAGTTGTAAGCCCAAAGCAACAAGCAAGGTAATAAAGGGTTAATCAGTCATTTCTGATCCTCAAACAATGAAAAATACATAACACTTTATCTAATATTAACATTTTCCTTGACTGAAAATGTATTTCCAATAGAAACTCACTTCCGTACATACAAAAGCACAACTTCAAGATTAAAATAACTAATCCATGTACGGACATGAGTGATCATATCAGAATTTAATCATTCCTGCCTGTAAATAAAACAATTTTAATAACCCAAAATAATATTTATCACATCATCAGAAAAACTATTTTAAAAGTGTCACAACTACACTTAAAAATAAATCTGGATACAGATTTTACAAAATTAGACATTTTGCTTTTAAAACTTGAATCATCATTCCATACTTTATAAGATACGTTTTAAAACAGCCTATCCCAGCTTCTCACAATTCTATAAACCTACATCACATCACTTAATATTCTTCAAGGCTCCAGCAAAAAAAAAGAGTGCATTGTTCTGATTTCTTTCTATTGTTCACAGTATTTAATGGCCAGTGTCACTGTGGTAAACCCTATTTTGCAATATAAGCTTCCTATAATAGGAAGATTAAAGAACTTACAAGATCTACCAATAGCCTTTTTCTCATTTACGATAACCTTAACCTTCCTAAACTAATACAGATCTTAAGCTTCACACCCAGATCCTACTCCATTTCCACAAAACCTATGTTTTTCTAAAACAATGGGTCATTTATTTAGCATTTACATAGAGGAAGGTCAAGGAAAGATCAAAGAACAGTTATAAAAGTCAAACACAGATATTACCATCAGAAATCTGAAGAGGTAGAGGAAGGAGCCACCAGAACAGATCAGAGGTTAGTCAAACAACCAGGAGATGATTAAAGACCTATGATGTAATTAAGGATGAACATAGCAATAAAATTATAAAGAACAAAAACAAATTAGAGAGGTGGAAATCATATTTTTAAGATATATTAAACGAAAATGATCCTGTGTATCTAAATCAAGAAGAATTACATGAAAAGCCACCTACAGATATAACATATATAGATAGAGAAGTTGTTGAGACAATTAAGACTTAAAAATAATAAAAGTCAAGGAAATGATCTGATAACTGTAGAAATGTTCACAGCATTGAGGGGGGGGGGAGATCGGATTAGCAAGACTTCATGATCTGATTATGCTCATCTTGGAATCGGGAAGTTGCATGAGGGTCAATCAAGGAAATAGAGTGGTTTGAGGTAAGGACTGGAGCTAGGCAGGGTAATGTTCTATCACATGTCTCGTTCACTACTGTAATGGATTGGGTTATGAGAAAAGTTGATCACAAAAATGGTAGTATTTAATGGTTAAATAACACTTTTGAAAAATCTAGATGTTGATGATATATGTTTGTTTGTCATGCCATACAAACAATGGCTAGAATGATGAAGTACAGGCACACGAAGCTCCGAAGATTGACTTAACAATTAATACTGGTAGAACAAACACAATGAAGTTGGAGACAAATGGTTTCACTAGGGGGAAAGCTTGTTCTTTGTGCACAAAATATTCTTTTAGTTGTGGTATAAAGTTTATAAAGTGTAAATGCACTGCTGTGTATTCAGAGTAATTAATAGCTATGTGACCTACCTAGATTACTTACATATAAGGCTAGGTATGTAGAGTTTTTAATGAATCTGATGGCTGTGTGGGGTATCTCGGCAACTGCGAGGTTAAACCTATACCTCAACCAACACTGTTACACAATACCCACCAAATACCTCTGGTGAAAAATACACTTTGAGCCAAATGGTCCAATTAAAGATGACAAATTGATCGAATTATCTAGTAAGAGACACCAAATCTAGCAACACTTTCAAAACCTGGATATTGAAGGCACGTATAAAAACTCAACAGGGTGACGGTACTAGTACTCTTAAGTGTCTATAAACAAACGAAGATATTCATGCACAAAACCTTAACACATAAACACTGCTGTCTAAGATAGGACTCTGAAGGGTGACAGATCTATTCCCTTTGCAATGCATACTATTACCTATACCCCTCCCGTATGCATATGGTGGTGTCATCTATACTTCTCTACTCTTAATTTCATTTTTACATAGTTTAATGAAGTTTAAAAGCTTCCCACACACATTACTGTTTTAATTATATAGACTGCAATTACACAGAGCATTCTATCTACCATTGTCAGATTTGACCTGGTCTCCAGTTCATATTGCTACATTAAAATAACGGACCTTCGATTTCACAACAATTTTCTATGCAAATACTACATTCACTATTTGTGTGGATTTGTTATGGCACTATATAACTTAATTATAAATTACTTCAACATTGGATAGTAGATTTCAATCCAGTAATTACAAATGACACTTTTCTCCTCTGCAGATCTACTAAGAACTTTTTACATTAGATATATTTAATCATATGTACACATAACACAACTTCTAATAAGGGATATTCCACCAGCACTATGAAAAAAAGGCTTTAGAGTTCAGAACCCATTTTCTCTGGAGCATTGAAGAATGAGGAGGGGGCTACTTGATTAAAGATTAAAATGTTAGTGATGGAATGAAAAGATTAGAGCAAAAACATTACAATTAAGAGGTTTAGGCTTTGAAAGCCTCAATGCTGATTTCTTGGTCTGATTTTTTTAGTTATAACCTTACGGCTGGTACATGCAGTTGAATCCCTTTACAATTTTATTAGATAGTTAAATGAATATCACTCTAACAATTTAACCCCCCACAAACCCGAGATTTTCCTTCACCTCTAGGCATAACAAGTTGTTTGAAATTAAATGGACAATACTTTCACATCTCTAATCAGTAACTTATGTCCACACTGTGACATCAAATATAACGATATTACCAGAAAACGAGCACTTTCAACCAGTTTTTCTATCAGTTTAGAATCAGTAATGATGTTATCATTTTGTAAATAGAAAAAATACACTAACAGCATGACAAAAGATAATAGAAAAAAAAATGTGTAAAACCACTATATTTTCAGATATTATACACTTTATGATCATCATGAGAAGGTAGGTTTACATTTCTGATCCAAAGTTCAAGTGTATAAAACCATTATTTGACAAGTTTTGTATATGTGTGTGTCAATTTATAATTGGAGAACCACTGGACCTACTTTCACCAAATTTTGAATGGATACAGGATAGTCCAACTCCGAGACTTATGAAGTTATATTCCCATGACCAAGTACGAGTGATCTGAATTACGTTTGATGTTGATAATGATACCGATAAATGTATATTGTAATTTGACTCCCCTTATGTCCCCCTCCACGAGTCCCTATGTTACTTCGTACGTTGAACGGGTGCGTCAGATAATATATTATAATTACAGATACAACTAAAAATATGCTTTTCTTTATACAAATATAAAAATCATTTAATTTTCTCTTTTTTTAAAATCAGAATTCGTCTATTCGCTTGATTGTTTCGATGTTTGATAACGTTCCAAGCTTTCGAACTTACTATAACATTACACTCAAAGTCAATCTAAAACTTTAATTTATAAACGTTATAACGTAAAAAGAAAAGTCAATTTACTAGGCCTAACTTAACTTTGTATGTCTAAGCTTGTCTTTGCCGTTAAAATTTTAACAACAAAACTGTATCTTATGATATGCTAGCAAGGAAAGATGAAGTGAATAAAAATTGCATAATTACATATCATAATAGCATTTTAATTACTTTTGTAATATTTACTTACAAGTTACAATCACTATTCCTAAGCCCACGTCAACTAAATTCGTCTACTCGTGACTTCTTCCCAACCGGTAACCGTTCAACTACACGTGGCAAACTACATAGCATGTTGATGCTGTGATCAAAGGTTGCCGGAGTAAAGATAAATTATTTGTAAATATTTCCATATTAATAATTTCCTGTGTTTGAATACGTGCATTGATTTTGAAAATACCAAATTATATTTAAAAACAGACAAATCACAAGTTTAATGTGTCCCATCCAAAAATAAATAAATGCACTAACCTCCCAAATGGGTGCACTTATCGAATACAAATACTAGTAAATAATATAGAACATTAAATAATACTGTCCCCCCCCCAATACTTTTTGAGCAGTATACGTGGTGAAAAACACTACAAGATTCCCAGAATTCAAAGAATATAATACTTTCCATTAAAATGAGTTGCATACTACCTTTTTTTGCGATTTTCTTAATGATAGTACTCAAAACTACATTTCAAGTTTTTTGTTTTTGTTTGTTTGTTGTTATTGTTGTTTTTGGTTGTTGTTCTTTTTACTGCTTAGTACCCTTATAAAAAGTAATTTACTTACTTAAACTTAAGTATTCATAATGGTTTTTCAAACATCATTGTTTTTTAACATACATGGACCGTACCCCTTGCATTGGTGATCAAAGCAGCAGACATGAAAAGAACTGAAATCATCACCGTCAAGTTGATTATAATAACGTTCCAAAGAGTTAAATAGGAATTATGATTACAGAGGGAGAACAAGTAACGAGATTTCTCCTAATGAAAACAGTGCTTGCCGTATTTTGGATAAATACTGCAGTACGATAAAATGAAAGATATTTCCACCTTGTTAATTAAAAATGAATTTTTTTTAAATTGTGAAACTACGTTCCAGCTAAGACAGAACAGTCATTAATTTATGTGGCCAATGATTGAAAGGAATGAGCTATCTGTGCCCTGCCTTCTGTAGGTATTGTAACCCAACATTTAGCATTATAAATCCATAGGCTTACAGCTGAACCGCTGGGATCTTGATTGACAGGAAGTAGTGTTCCTTGCTTTCTGAGCTATTTGGTAGTGATGTTCACTAGAATACCAGCTAGGACGACTATTGGGTTGAGAAACCAGTGACTGAAAGAAAGTTACACTTATTTACTTCCTGAGCATTAATGTGATTTTCCAAACAAAATCTCATTGGAGAAGTACCTGTTCTTCTGAACCTGGTGCAGGGTTTCTCCTGTATACCTTTATCAGAATAGTATCAGTTTTCCAGAACCTACTTCAGGGTTTCTCCTGTACACACCCTTATCTAATTGCAGCAATTCTTCTGAACATGCTGCATGGTTTCTCCTGTACATCCTTATCATAATATCAGTAGTTCTTCTGAACATGTTGCAGGATGATTTCTCCTGTATGTCACATTTACTGGAGTTGCAACAGTTCTTGCAAACTTGAGGTGGGGTCTCTCCTGTATGTAACTACTAGAAAAGTCATTGGTTGTGCCACCAGTACCTGAGAGGATTTAGCAACCCTTGTTTTCTGAACCTCTGAGAGACAATGTAAGATAGTGTGTATTGCATTACATTGTATAATTACCACTCGTGTAGTAATTAGAACAGCTAGTTGGTTGGAATATCATTGACTGAGAGAGATGTTGCACTTCCCTCTTCTTACTGATGCTAAAGTGATCTTTCGAGCAAAGATTGCCACTCTTATCAGTGAAGTGACAGTTAGTTGGAAAACACCACGTAATTCTCCAGAGAGCAAATGCTCTACTGTCGAAATGATGTGTTAAGTGTTTTTCACTCACAAAAAAGAAACCTATCATTCTATAGGTATTTGAAGAACGTGCAACATTCCGCCACAATTTAATTCTTCGTATTGTTAGCCGACACAGGGCAGCTGGTACATAATTAAATAGAGTTTTTTAAACACTGATGAGGAGTGGAATTCTCCGAAACTAGTCTGGCTAACAGACACACCCCAATGAAAGGACAGACAATTCCAAACTTTTACTTGTTGTTAAACAATTGTTTAAATAACTCTATTCAAAAATGCTCAACTGTGGTATAA